TAGATAGATAGATAGATAGATAGATAGATGATAGATAGATAGATAGATGATAGATAGATAGATAGATAGATAGATAGATAGATAGATAGATAGATAGATAGATAGATAGATAGATAGATAGATAGATAGATAGATAGATAGATAGATAGATAGATAGATAGATGATTAAAGAAGTAATAATATAAAGAAGAAACACTTGAATGTAAATTGGTGTTGTAAGTAATTAAACCTATATGTGAATGTACCACAGTAGGAATCAGAGATTAGTAGATAAAGCACAAAATGAAGTTAAAGCAGACTCAAAATGTTTAAAAAATTGCAAAAATTATCATAATAACTAGGAATTGAAAAATAAAAGAAAATGGAATTTGGATTCAACATGACAGTCAGTGGAGTTACTCACTGTTAACTGTTATGGACTCAGTCATATAACTATGGAAACCCATAGCATGACCACAACAAAGTCAACCAAGTCTGTATGTTATGTTTAGACATGAATTCTATCCACGCATACACTCCATAGAACTTGTGTGACTTAAATCAGAGAACCGAGCGTGAGCGGACGGAACATTCACCCCCCTTTTGGTTCGATTCGAGTTGGGTTATCATATTTATGGGTTGTAATATCATCCAAATCAGTGGAACCCTTGTGCGGTTTGATTTGGTTCCTGTGGACCCACTTATAGATGGGATCTTTGTTTCCTTTGGTGATCTTGATCTGATACACGACCGGAGAGAGTTTTTCAGTTATCAGGTATGAACCTGACCACTTCAGCAACAGTTTCTTAGCCAGTTTACCAGGGGTGATTTTTGTGTGACCGGAATTAGGAGCAAAGATGTAGAACCAGGCCTCATCACCCACGTTGAGTTCAGAATGTGAGGCCTTTTGATGATAATAAGCCTTCCTGCCCTCAGCTGATTTCTCCAGATTTGACTGTGCAAAAGAAAATGCTGCAGGCAGATGGTTCTTCAGGTCCTGCAAATACTGCTCGTTAGTGTAAGCCAGATTGGCAATGGACTGGACTTAAGCTTGGTTTATGCTTGACGCATTCACTTTCCGCTTGGTAATGCGGCTCACGGATGGAACGCACTTCACAACTCGCAGCGTTTATGGTTCGTGCAGCTTGTCTCTGCGGTGAGCCAATATTCTCCCAAACTGAACGGGGCAGCATGGAGCTCTATGGCATGCATCCAACACGACACCATAGTAGAAGTAAAAATTACTGTTGTTTACAACACGGCATTCCAGCATTTTTAACAGTGTCCTCGTCTTTTCCAACAGTGCGAGCTATTTCTCTCCAAGAATTATTAACAACATGTTGATCACGGTGATCTCTGAGAGCTGAATCATACAAATGTCTGTATTTACGAACCTCTGCCATACTAGTTCTTGCCGGTCCGCCATGTTTTTCCACGTCCGACCGTCAGCGTGGTTAGAAATTTTCCTAGGTACGCGTTGCAGAAATGTTGGGCCGTGCGGAGACGCGGTGGAGGGGTGTGGTTGTTAAAATGACGCAATTTCGCCGTGTGGAGCCGTATGGACCTCGCGGACGCGTCAAGCATAAACCAACCTTGACTGATACAGCAGGTGAAGCGGCAGGGTCATTTGTCTACCCGTCATCATTTCAAGTAGGGAGACGCCTGTAGACTCATGAGGAGTGGCCCGTATGGCCATAAGGACCAACGGAAGCTTCACATTCCAGTCTCTGTGATTAGAGGACACGTATTTCCTTAACATGCTGACAACAGTCCGGTTCATCCTTTCCACTTGGCCAGAAGACTGGGGCCGGTAACCAATGTGGAAATTGGCCTTTACTCCCAACATCTGCCAGAGATGTTCCATCACTTCAGAGGTGAATTGAGTTCCCATATCTGAGTTAACACGTGCGGGGTGAGACCGAACCGGGAGAAGATGTGATTCATCAAAAGGACAGCAGTTGTTTGAGCCGTGTCGTTAGGTGCTGGCAAACATTCAACCCATTTGGTGAATGCACAGGTCACAGTCAAGAAGTATTTGTTACCTCTGCTTAACTTGGTCAGATGCATGAGGAATCCTGCAGTGTTATCAGAAGAAGGCTTTGTTTGGGAATACAGACTGACATCGTGTTCCTCCTGAAATGTCAACAAGGTTTACAGAACCTTGTTGCGTGTTGGAAGGTAGAATGTGAAATCCACCTTAGAGCTGGAATGCATGTCTTCCGATGACCGGTGGCATGTAGGTCAGTTTTTAGGTGAAAACTGACCATTGCTGGACATTACAGATGCAATCAAGATATTACAGACACTAGGGTCAAATAAGTGTCTGTGTTAATGGAGTAATATGGAAGAGTTCTAGAGTGAAATAATCGTAAAACAGTAATGTGTCAGTCATGTTGGAGGGAAGGTTACACTGAAGCAGACCTCATCCTCAGCATGCTGGGGGTGGGGGTGGGGTGGGGGGGGTATGTAGCTATACACTCAGTTAGGTTGTGAGGTTTACACTACTCCAGGAAGCTAACGCTCAAGCATCTGCTTTTGTAATTCGACACCAGCCGGAAAAAAGCTCCAGAGTTGTTTAAAGAACTAGAGCCAGCGAACAGGATCAACCCAGAAGTTATTTATTGTATCACTAAGAAGCCACGACATGTTTTCATTTCGCTCTAATATTGAGTGAAGCAGGCTAGAAGCTAACAAGCTAAATTTTCTAACCGTGAATTAGAAGTGAATAGTCGGCTCTAAAAATTTCTCAAGCTACTTTATCAATTACCAACAACTTGTTATTACAGTGAAATGTATGTGTGAAGTGAATGATGAGTCAATCATGGCGTTACAGTTCTTCAGAACCATAACAGCAAGGTAGCAAACAACTACACTTCCTTTAATGCTAGGCTTATTACCATAATATGTAATGGGTCATAAGTGCTCCCTATGGTAAAACACTCAACAGTTCATCACCCGATATGACAACGTATTTATCTACTTATTAACCTACTGTGAATGACTCGTTTTCGCTTGTCATCTAGAATCTTCTGGTGCTGATCCGTAACTGGCAACAGCCATGAAACTCATGAAACGGGGTGAAAAAGTGATTTGGGCTGCAGTAACCAAGAAATTCTTACACACTGCACCTTTAAGTAACATCTAAACTAATGATTGAGCAGGGTTAAAGCCCTGCTCATTTCCTGGTTCTACCACAAATGAACCCTTCTAGATCAGACATAAAACCTTCTATGAATCAATTTTTCCATTCAGACAATAAAAGCTATTAAGGTTTTAATTGAACTTAACGACCACAGCTCTGTAATCACACCTGCAGAGCCTTTGGGAAGTGATGGACATCTCAAAGTGTTTGACGCTGTGACTTGACTGGAAGTTTTTTTCACATGTCTAGACCTTGGACTCAATTAATGAAATTAAATGAAATGAAAATGAAATGAATGAATGAAAATGAAATGAAAAGCTTTATTTGTCCCAGGGAAGGGAAATTAGAGTTTCAGTACACACAATTCAAAGATCAGACATACTGGGCAAGTCACATGACAAGAATTGGTGACTGGTCATTCGCAACCGAGTCGCGCTACCATGAATTTCAGCGCTCAGATGGATTCAAGTGCAGTCCACGGCATTAAAAGTTGATAAGTTATGAATCACATCTACAACGGCAGCAGACGTACTGGTATGCTGCTAAAATGTTTAATTTCAGAAGTAAAGCGGTAGAATAATTTTAGATCATGCATTTGTTTATTTATACCCTTTAAGGTGCACATTTGTGACACAGGCTTTAACTAGCTTACGACGCTTTGTTTACAGTCTGGTAAACCTAAGCCGCTATTCATACTTTATTTTTCCCCCTTTTAATTCAAACAGAACAATGTAAACATTCAACGTGTAACTTCAAAATGAATAGGATGAAGTGTTTTGTTGTTAATTGTCACCTCTTTGCAATGTTTTCCATTTATTTAATTGTCAAATGAGAACTAGCCAAAATATTTATTATGAATAACAATATAATAGTATCACGTAATGTTACATCTGATATTAGGAGATTTTTAATGCTTCCGTAGAAGACACGAGTCAGTTGGAGATAAGAAACAAATGCAGTATTTCTACTGATATTAAATGTTTTCCCTCTAATTCAGCTGAGCCATTAAGGGTAAAGACTATGTTAGAAAAACGGCACCTTTCAGGGATTTAACATTAAACAAAGAAATTCAGAAAATGGCCAACACAGCCCCCGTGCACACAGTAAATCTATCACCTTAAAAAATCTTTGTGCAATAATAGTTCTTCAGCAGTTTAGTTCAGTTTCTTTCCTCAAATCTGTATTTTTAATTTTCTTCCCAAGACAGGTCAAACATCTCACCTGATATGAAGCAAAGGAAGTGATCATTAGCTAATCTGACACCACATGAAGGTTATTTTGAGATGCAGAATGTGACTGTCGGAAGGATATTTCCAACTGGCTGCAGAATATTTTCACAAGAGGGATTTCAATCTATAAAGACATTTAGACGTCCATAAAAAGAACACAGTTTGGACTGGATTCCTGAAGGTTAATGTGCCATCATTAGCATGAAGTTACATTAGTCAGTGGTTCGACTCCTCAAACCTGAATCGCACCATGTTCGCGGTGCTGGTTTTACTGGGAGTAGGAGTAGAGCTATTAAAATCAGAAGTAACAACCAGCCCACTACAGCTAATTTGGTTGATAAGAATCCTGCAGATTGATGATTTTCACCCAAAGTTCAGCAGAGGAGATGGTGGTTTGCAGTCTGATTAGATGGAGTCCCCCAACAGGGAATTGAGGAGATAATTTTGAATGAAGGTAAATGACTCCTGAGACTCAAGTGTGGATAAACGCAGAAAATTAATTATTGTCTGCTACTGTGTCAAGTTTACAGATTTTATTTCAGATCAGTTTATAGTTTTTACTATAACTCCATTTTCTAATTTATATGTAACAACTCTGCCCAAAACAATTTCATTTAAACGATGCATGTTTCTGTTTTTCTCAACTTAAGGTCATTCCAGGACCTGGCCAAACAGTCGGACTTCGCTTACGGGACGGTGAGGGACTCGGCCGTGTACGAGTATTTTTACGCCAAAGGCACCAACCCTCTGGAACAGGACAGCACCTTCGCCGAGCTCTGGAAGATTATCAACAAGAACAATGGCTTTGAGAACTCCGTCTCCAGCCCGTCAGAGGGCATCAGGAAGGCAAGTATTTGTGATGGTTGTTTTCAACAGTTTCTGTGAAATGACTGCTGGGTGCCATTTTCTCCTGCAAATAAGTTTCCTTGAAAAGCTTTCAGTGGTCTGATTAGTCTGTTCCCGTGGACTGATGTGGAACCGACCGCCGTTTTTCATCAACTCAGCTGCAATTTCACAAAAACGTTTTTTTAAACCTCAGTTCACACCCTCTGTTCTCTAGGAAATAGATATAAAATTAAAAAAAATGTTTACAAACAAATGTAAAAACTTTGTTTTGTAGCATTTAATAGTATTTTTTTTCTCTTAATTCTAATTCATATAGAACATTTAGTTTGAATCCACATGCATTCCTTAGAAAAAAATGTGACTTTCCATTTTTATATGATAATTAAAAGGAATTTCCTTTATTTCCTTAGTTTTTGGCTCTACATAGATAAAGTGCTGCTCATCTGTTTTAATTTATGGGTTTATTTTATTTCCAGCATGACTTTATTTTAAAACATGAATTTGAACATTTTTGTATTTAGTTCAGATGTTGAGACAAAAAAATCAGTGAATAAAGCAAGTAATTCAACATACATTAGAAATAAACATCTCTGCACCTTTGCAAAACATCCTAGTGGTGTGCACTGGATTCAATACTGTAACAGTATTGCTGTATGTTCAGCTGATCACTTTTCTCCCAGTGTAATTAAAATGTTTATTTTTTATCTTATCTTTACTAGACATGGATTTTGCCCCAGCTATTTCTGGTCTTAAGTGAATTAAAAAAAAACTTACACAGTAGCTGTGCTTTTTTTTCTGTAAACATGGCTTTATGTAACTATTAACATTTTTATGTGGGCTTTATCGAAACTATTTAAAATTTCCAGGCAAAGCGAGAGTCCTATGCCTTTCTGTGGGACATGGCGGTGGTGGAGTATGCTGCTCTGACAGACGATGACTGCACACTGTCGATAGCAGGAAACAGCATAAGCACCCGGGGGTACGGCATGGCCCTGCAGCACGGCAGCCCTTACAGAGACCTTTTCTCTCAGAAGTAAGTTTATTGATATTTATTTTATAATTAGAATATGATAAATACAACAGAAACAGTATGGTGTCTAAAGATTTAAATCAACAGGAATTTTAATTTGCTGTTTTGACCATCCGCTTAGATACAATCTGCAGAGTTTCTGACAGGACTCAAATTACACACAAGAACCCCACGAGGGCAGAAGTAGGGACTGGATGATTTTTCTGTCAGTTGAGGTCTTCCGGGGGACCCGAGCTTCCCCATAGCTCCCCCATTAATTTGAACCTTGGCTTCTGCGATCTTTAAATGAAAGTAATTACTCTTTTTTGCAAACAGTAGTGCAAAATATTTGCCATTTCACAAATATTTTAGGACTTGTAACGTATTTTTAAAAAAAGCATACTTTTTTTGTATTCCAACTCTTGGAAATCTAAACTTAAGACAATTTTTTTTGTTTCTTGCCTTAAATTATGATCTAAATAATATTTAAGTAAATGATATACAAGCATCAGGATGACACAAAATGTAGCCTAATAGTATGTTTTTTTTTACCAGACCAGTGAAAATCGAAGGTTTAATCTCTTTATCATGAAGCTGCAAAAATAAATAAGCATGCGTTCAATAAAAGCATAAAAAGAAGCTCTTTGAACATCTTAGGTGTGTTCTTGCTGTGCCGTGGTTCTAATTCCATGCTTTCGTTCTTTTTAAACACAGAAACAGTTTTGTTTACCTGTTTTGTAGCTACAGTTTCGCCGCCGGCTGCCGGCTTCGCGTTAGCCTGAAGAAGCCGGCAGCCGTCGGCGAAACTGTAGCTACAAAACAGGTAAACAAAACTGTTTCTGTGTTTAAAAAGAACAAAAGCATGGAATAAAAAGAAGCTGTGTGATTCACATATGAAACACAAACTAAAAGTTTTTCAAGTACCCCATAAGAGCCATTTTCAGTGCTTTTTTAGTGATATTTGATATTTTAGTTATGCATAGAACAGAGATGGGTTGCAAAAACAGCACATTATCAATGTTTTTGATAAACATTATACGATTATAGATTATGATTCAGATTTTCAAGATTCGACTTGTGGATGGGCCTAGAGATGGACCCACTTATTTTCCTTTAGAAAGACAAAAATCTGAGACACAGCAGCCTCAATAAAGATTCACTGAAAGGTGTGAGGAAAATGTTAATTTTTGCAATCGGAACTGATCAGTCAGTGCCCCAGGGTAGAGAAAAATAAATGGTGGATGTGTATTCACAGAGATGAAGCCGGAGCTGTCATTGTTATCTAGGGGTACATTATAGAAAAAAAATGTATACAAGTAGTTTTTTTTTTATTTTGTTAAAGGAATGCATAATGATGATTTTTATGTTTGTAACCGCTATTAAAAAATCTGATATTCCATTATAAACTGTAGCATATCTTCTGTACAATCTCCTGAATAGTATACATCTTTGTATTATCAAGGCTCAATTAGCCATCCTAAATATTTTGTCTGGTCATGACCCATAGATAGAGTTCGGTCATCAGGCATAATATAAGTTTTTTCTCTCGGCCACAGCTCTGATGCCAAGTCCTCCTAATGTCTACTAACAGAGAACTACACCACCCTGCCAAAAAAGGAGTTACCACCCAAAAAAAAAAAGATCACACACTCTAAACATTTCATTAGATCGCAGTTACGTCCCCGACAGGAGGTGTTAAAATGTTAAGGGGGGGTAACATAAGAAACATGATAGTGAGTTTAAAATGGGTTTCATTGTTATAAAAGGTTCTAAAAACAAGTGCAAACAGATGGTAAGCATTATTAAAATAATGCCTAACAGAAACCAAGACTAAAAGGTTAACATTTAAAGGATGAATTATCAACATTAAAACACCTGGTTAAAACTTTGTTATAAGTTTTTAACAAATCTCTAAGTCGATAATAAAAACTGACGCACTACGAAAACACGGAGTGTTTTAACATCCCAAAGTTGGTAAACTGATGTTAACATTAAAACTCAGTCAACTAAGTTGACATCAACCTAAGATCCCTTTGGATCATTCAGGGCTTTAACCTTTAAAACTCATCAACTCAGAGTTGAAACCATTAAAGTTAAAACTCTTAATTCAAAAGGGGTTTAAACCAAAACAAGGCCTGGAGGACAGCAGAATCCCTGTACTGCTGCCTCCCAGACTGCTGAAGGCACAGCCTTTTTATCCCAGGTGTAGGTAGGGATGGGTACCTTTGACATTTGACTAGATCCGGTACTAATTCCTGGTACCTACGAATCGATACCGGTACTTAACTTTACCAATTTTCGATACTTTTGAGTGTTTAATATTTTAATTCTCTTTTATAATTAAATATATATTTTTCTCAATATATAACAATATTTGATAAATATCACGATAAATAACATACAACTGTTTGTATTTTAACATTGCCCTTGTAGTTTTATAAGCTGATAATTAAACTGAAGCAAACATCTTTACTGTGAACTAAATTTACTGTGTATCTTCATTCCTTTTGCCATCTTTTTTCATTTGATTTTTCCTACTGGGAAGTTAGAATATCCGAGGAGAAAGCGAACGCACCATTAGCTGATAACAATGGTGGCAATGGAAGCTAACATATCAAGCTAACGATCTCTTAAACAGTTTATTTAGCTGCTGGAGCAGATTAAAACGATGATGCCTCACACTTAGATCGTTGTCACTGGTTTCGTCTTCACCCTTCACATTTAGTAAAGTGAAGCCAAACCTTAGAGCGCGTTCATGTTGTTCTAGTCGGAAATTCGGAGTTCCGATGAGAAAGCGAACGCACCATTAGCGAAACGGAAGCTAACATATCAAGCTAATTATATTTACCTACCGGAGCAGATTAAGATGAGGATGTCTCACTTAGATAGTTGTCGCTGGTTTCATCATCCAGTTACCCATCACATTTAGTGAAGTGGACCCAAGCTTTAGCCTGCGTTCATTCTACCATGCTGCTCTGTTTACAAATGATTCACAGCAAGCGACGACAAAATGCTCTTGCGCATGCGCAGCTGTCTTGGCAAGTTCTCGTTATGATGGGCGGGTACCGAAACGAGGCACCATTTGAAACGACGTGAATCGGTGCTCGGTCGGTACTATGGAATTCGGTCGGTACTTTAAAAAGTACCGAATTCGGTATCCATCCCTAGGTGTAGGTCATCAGAGGGATTCAGCTCAGCTGTGCTCCTCAGAAGCCTGGAAGAGAGGAGGAGGAGGGGCGGTGTCGGGCTGATCACCGTGGCTGGGTGATCTTGGCTCCTGCACCTGAAGAGGCCAGGCTGGTGGCCATAACAATCGCCTTTAGCTTTGATTACAGCATACATTCACTGTGGCATTGGTTCGATAAGTAAGATTTATTTCTATCCAGTGTTGCATTGATGATGGTAGTCTGACTGCTGCACAAAGCCTTCTCCAGCATATCCCAAAGATTCTCAATGGGATTAAAGTCTGGACTCTGTGGTGGCCAATCCATGTGTAAAAATGATGTCTCATGCTCCTTGAACCACTCCTTCACTATTTAATTCCGATGAATCCTGGCATTGTCATCTTGGAATATGCCCGGCCATTCAATATATTCAGGTAGTCAGCTGACCTCATTCTTGGAGCACATCCTGTTGCTGAACTTAGACCTGGCCAACTGCAGCAACCCCAGATCATAACACTGCCCCCACAGGCTGGTACAGTAGATACTAGGCATGATGGGTGCATCATTTCATCTGCCTCTCTTCTTACCCTGATGTGCCATCACTCTGGAACAGGGTCCATCTGGACTCAGACCATTTGTAATCATTTCTGCTCTCTGCTTGATGCATGCCAATGATCTGACCCTTCTCGAACAGACCAACATATTTTCCACATGGTTGTTTTAAAAAAGAGAAGCAACTCATTTCACCAGTTTGGGTTAAATAACTTGTCAGCTAAAAGAAAATCACCTATGCAGTAATTGTCCAGCAGGAGGCTCGTACCTATGTGCTTAGTTAAATCCATGTGGCAACTTTTCGGGGGCCAGGCAGTGTATGACTGGCTAGACCTAAAACATTTTGGGCCAATGATGGACCAATTGAGGCTACAATGTAGCTAAACCAACCAGCAGAACAAAATCTTTTGCAACTGCAACAGTTTCCGAGATTTTCAGCTAGACTTTCAGAGTTAAGCATTTATTGATTTTTAAGAGCTCCATAACATTTTGTCCAGTTTATGAAACACTTTGCTAACAGACAGCATTGACCATAACTGTCTGCAAAAAAGTAATTATCATGCAAGTGAAGCTTCAGGCTGGATTTTGTTGCCTGATTCTAGAGGATCTTTCGAATTTGAACTGTTTTAAAAGTTTCATATCTTCCGAGAGCAAATGTGGGCACAGTATATGATCGAATATTGGCACTATTGACCTGTTATTTTTTGCCAGTCCGAATTTATACCCAGAAATAAAGCACTTAATTTCAGAGAAACTTCACTCACTTGCGTCGATAACATGTGCCTATGACAGCGTCTTAGGCTAATCAGTTTCTGTACTGGCTATTGTAGTCCAGTTGTTAAGGCATCTGTCTGCCATGTACTGATGTGGCTTTGAATCCCGGTGTGGGCAGTAATTTATTTAGAGTGTCTAAAGATCTTTGAATTTGGTCATTTTCAAGCAGCATTTTAGTTCATTTACTCTGCTCAACTCACATGGAACCTCAGTGGCTAAATAAACAAAGTAAAAAACTAAAAGCTGAAACATGAAAATGCATGAATGCAGCCAAAAATGGGTTTGGATTTTTTTTCATGAAGAAATACAAATATCACAAGCTAGTGAAGACTCTCAGTCATCCAGGTCATGGTAATCCAAACGGGTTCAAATGAAGGCAACTGGATTTCTTTGGTTTCTTGAAAATGTTTTGCTTCTTATCCGAGGAGCTTATGAAAATATCACATGGTAAAAAGCTCCAAAAAGTGGATTTTCCATGGAAAGGCCCCTTTAAAAGTTGGTTTGGTGATCTAAACATAAAGGGTGCATGCTCTCACAGAGCGTCTTGTGTTTTTGGTATAATAAACCTGAAGTGCTAAAGTCCAGGAATGGCTCTGACAGCTGTGCTTTTAAAAATCTATTTAGCATGAATATGTAGGTGAACTGGTAGCATAACAATCACCTTTGAAGAGGCCGACAGTACGTTTAGAAACCCTGGATGGATGCAAAGACTATCACCTGTATTTACACTCAGCCACAATCATTTCTTCCACAGCCTCTATTCGTTCTTTTCTCTGTGCTCCAACTGGCCGACTGCAGTTTCTGATCATTTTTGTTGCAGTGCTTATAATTTAAAATGTATTACTCTTTTGGCTGTAATTGTTTTTCTTTGTCTCGTTTTTCCCAAAAATGGTCTTTTGTTTCCGATCAATCTATGCCTCGCACTGTGCTGCTGTAAACTAAAAGCTGCAGTGTTTAATTGCACTTTACCCTCTATTGGGCTTTAATGATCTTACAGTCAATGCTAATAGATTAGCAGGGTGGAGGCTTTTTTCCCATTAGATTTATGTAATGAACTGTGCCATTTAATTATTATTACATGATAATAGTGCAGTAATCGCTGAGATCGGTTCAAGGCTTACTTTCAGTTTTTCTTTCATTTTTGTTTAACTTATAATTATCTGCATAGCTGTAGTTGTAATTTCATCAGCCATTATTCTATCTCAGTCACTTATACTGAAGGATTTGTCTGATGTTTTGTGACGTGTAACAAAATACTTTCCTTCTTGCCTCCAAAGGATTTTGGAGCTTCAGGAAAAAGGCGATCTTGACATTCTGAAGCAAAAGTGGTGGCCGAAGAAAGGTCGCTGCGACCTGCAAAGCCACACGGATGCTCAGCCTGAGGGACGGGCGCTACGCCTCCACAGCTTCGCCGGGGTGTTCTGCATCCTCGCTGCTGGGTTGCTGCTTGCTCTTCTCGTGGCTGCACTGGAAACATGGTGGAACAGCAACCACTGCCGGAGAGAGAAGCCCAAAGAGGTGACCACTGACAACTCGTCGGCACAGGGCCCAGGCCTTCTAAACCAGAACCGGGCCATGATGGCCACCACGGGTCCCCCTGCCCCACCGAGGCCCTGGTCGAGACCCAGACCCCCGGGCCCCCCGGTCCTGCCCAGAGACGCCACTGCCACACTCTACTTTATGGATCCAGCAGGCGCTGATGCCAGCCCCGATTTAGTAGAGCTGCAGTACACCCAGTTATAATAGGTGTGCCCATGGTGACAGTTCAGACATTACGTGATCAGTTTATTCATTCCTTCTCATGTTGGGAGAGAGACGGGGTGCTTATTTAGGGACTTCTGAGGCTTCTCCCATGGCGACGCATACAAGAACAGATTGGTTATGTAAAATCACTCCCTTGTGCTCATGTGGGAGAAGCACAACTCATAAGATAAAAGTAAACGGAACTGAAATTGTACTTCTGAGTTGATAAGAACTTCAGTAGTGCAATAGCTCTCTTTAGCTAATCCATTCAAGTCTTAACGCTTTAGAGCTCTGTCTTTCCCTTTGCTGCTGTTCACTGGGCAGCCCCTTTGCATGAGGCGTCCAGACAAATAAGGCTTGACATGGATCCCTAAACTAAAGTGTGAGCCTTGATCTGCCTTTTTAACTCGAGTCCAACAATACTGGATGAGAGAACACCCATTTAAGGCCCAGTCCTGTCCTGTAAACACACTAAATTAAACTCTACTGTTTTGCTGCAGATAAGAGTTTGAGTTACCGCTGGTAACTTTGATTTTTAGTGTTTGCATGTACTGCTGCCATGATATATAACTGTGTCATTGTGTAAAAACTCTCAGATCTGCAGGACACAGATTATAATCATGATGTTTTGTGTTGTGGGTGTTTTTTTTGTGAGCTTGAGGGTTTTAACAAAACACCTTAAAAATAAGCAGCAGCAAAGAATCTGAGATTGTGATCAGTTCACATACCACAGAAGAAGCAGAGCACATGGCTGACAGGGATGGAGGTTGTGGTCTGACATCCAGATCTAAGGCAAAGGGGCAGGGCAGGGGTAGACGTCCCATCATCCATTGTTTCATCCCATTGTCTATGGAAGGAATACAGTCTCATTAGAATATGACATTGAATATTTGCTCCATGAAATTATGCAATATAATTTATTTTTACTATTAATCTCAGTAAATATCAATGAAAATGTTGTTGAAAATGAATTAAATGATGTCCAGTTTTTGAAAAATATTGGCAGCTTTGTATTATACAGCCATAAAAATCTGGTCCAAAATACATGGGAGTGGGTCTAAGTCTCTGGGCGACGCCATATTAGATGCCATGTTTCCATCTACGGGAGCCCATGAGGACAAAATGCATTTACCAATTTGTAAGAAAGAGTTAAACAATTTCACGAATCATAAACATTGTTTTACACATTTACCTCTTAATTTGTTGCCAGTGATAAAAGGGAGTGTGATGTGCTTGTCCTTTTACTGAAGTTTGTACCCCCTGGGGCTTTTTGACCCTAATAGGCATCTATTGGTAAGGTCTAACTTCACACAAAAATACAGCTTGATTGTAACAATTTAGGTCTCTATTGCCCCTTGTCGCCAGGAAAAACACACATTGTCACTTTCAAACTCACCAACTGAGTGTCAACAAGTGAGGTGACTTTCTGGTAACCCAAGACAAATTATTGTCACTTGACTCGAGTCGAGTGACACTTTCCATTCCATTCCATTTTATTTATAAAGCACATTTCTACACGGCAGAGGCCAACCAAAGTGCTGCACAGTAAAAGAGCATACAAATCAACAGACGGGAATAAAGTAATAAAAGTAGCACAGTAACTACTATAAAATCAACAATTAAAATAAAACAGAGACATAGCACAAGGCTAACTAGGCAGGAGTAAAAGCCAAGGAATAAAAAAAGAGTCTTCAGGCGTGATTTAAAATTGGAGAGAGAGGGGGCCATTCACTGCTAGAGGGAGTCGGTTCCAGAGACGAGGCACACAGATTGAGAATGCTCGTTCTCCTCATGTTCTCACCCGAACACTTAGGACCTGTAACAGGTGGTGGTCTGCTGAACGAAGAATTCGACCAGGTACGTAGGGCTGAACCAGCTGAGTCGAGAATAGAGGCACATAAAGATAGAGTGACTGAAAAACAAGAAGTACAATTTTAAACTGGATGTGGTAGCTTACCGGGAGCCAGTGCAGCTGAGTCAGAACAGGAGTAATGTGCTCCCTCCATCTGGTGTCTGTCAAAAGGCGGGCCGCTGCATTCTGCACCAGCTGTTGGAGCGCAACCGAGGAAGATGTAGATCCATAAAAAAGGGAATTCGCATAATCCAAGTGAGAGATCACAAATGCATGGATCACTGTGTGCAGGTCACGTGTAGTCAGGATGGACTTCATCTTTGATAGCCGGCAAAGCTGGAAAAAGCAGGATCTAACCACCTGGCTAGTGTGAGAGTCCATCTGCAGTTCTGGGTCCAAAACCACCCCCAGGCTAGTGATGGTTGGCTTCAGTAAGCTGAAAAAACAGGGTGGCAGGACAGGACTAACTGCAGTGGGAGAGAGAGGAACAAATAAAAGAGCCTCCAACTTAGACTCGTTCAAATGTAAAAAGTTATTATAAAGCCAGCCCTTCACCTCGTTCAGGCAATCCACAGCTGGTTGCACCGACTCTTGAGGTTTTAATGAAACATAAAATTGGCAGTCATCAGCATACAAATGATAAGACATGCCATGTCACCTAAAAGTACCTGCCAGAGGAAGAATGTAAAGATTAAAAAGCAGAGTTCCTAAAATAGAGCCTTGGGGAACACCACAGGGCAGAGAGCAGGCTTCAGAGGCAAAATCCCCCAGCCTCACACAAAAACTTCTGTTGCTGAGGTACAATCTGAATGAATTCAGGGCAGTTCCCTGGATACCCACTACCTGGTTCAGTCGGAACAGAAGTATAACATGGTCTACGGTGTCAAACACATGGGAGCCGGAGTCAGTGGACCACAGAACATCATTAAAAACCCTAAGAAGGGCAGTCTCAGTGCTATGACCGGGACGGAACCCTGATTGCAAAGGGTCTCAAATGTTAAAAGTCTGAAAATGGTCAGAGAGCTGTGTAAAAACAACTTTTCTCGAGAAGCTTATATAAAAGTGGAAGCCTCTGCCTGGGCTGCCACCTTACCGTGGTGGAGGGGTTTGAGTGTGTTAATGATCCTAGGAGCTAAGTTGTCTGAGTCTTTCTGCCTCTGGTAGGGTCACCCATGGCAAACAGGTCCTAGGTGAGAGATCAGACTAAGAGCAGCCCAAAGACCTCTTATGATGAATTATATAAATGGAAACCGTGTTCCCTCACCCGGACGTGGGTCACCGGGGCCCCCCTCTGAAGCCAGGCCTGGTGGTGAGGCACGTTGGCAAGCACCTGGTGGCCGGGCTTTCACCCATGGAGCCCGGCCGGGCACAGCCCGAAGAGGAGACGTGGGTCCCCCTTCCCATGGGCTCACCACTCGTGGGAGGGGCCCAAGGGGTCAGGTGCAGTGTGTGACGGTAGATGGTCGAGGGCGGGGACCTTGGCAGTCTGATCCTTGGCTACAGAAGCTGGCTCTTGGCACATGGAATGTGACCTCTCTGGCGGGGAAGGAGCCTGAGTTGGTGTGTGAGGTTGAGGTTCCGACTAGATATAGTCGGACTCACCTCAACGCATGGCTCTGGCTCTAGAACCAGTTTCCTTGAGAGGGGTTTGACTTTCTACCACTCTGGAGTTGCTCCCACTGAGAGGCGCCAAGCAGGGGTGGGCATACTAAATGCCCCCCGTCTTGGTGCCTGTACGTTGGGGTTTACCCCAGTGAATGAGAGGGTAGCCTCCCTCTGCCTACGCATGGGGGGACGGGTTCTGACTGTGGTCTGTGCTTTTGCACCAAACCACAGTTCAGACTGCCCACCCTTTTTGGAGATCTTGGAGGGGGTGCTGTAAAGCGCTCCTTCCGGTGACTCCCTTGTTCTGATGGGGGACTTTAACACTCACGTGGGCAACGACAGTGAGACCTGGAGAGGTTTGGTTGGGAGGAAAGGCCCCCCTGATCTGAATTCGAGTGGTGTTTTGTTATTGGACTTCTGTGTCAGCAATGGATTGTCCATAATGAACACCATGTTCATTGTCTTAGACTGTCTTGGACACTCGGGTGAAGAGAGGGGCAGAGCTGTCAACTGACCACTTCCCAGTGGTGAGTTGGCTCAGATGGTGGTGGAGGATGCCGGTCAGACCAGGCTGAACCAAACTTATCGCAAGGGTCTGCTGGGAACGTCTGGCAGAGTCTCCTGTCAGAAGGAGCTTCAATTCCCACCTCCGACAGAACTTCCAAAATGTTCCGGGGAGGTGGGGGACATTGAGTCTCAATGAACCCTGTTCCATGCCTCCATTGTTGAGGGGGCCCCCCGGAGCCGTGGTCACAGGATCGTCGGTGCCTGTCGTGGTGGCAACCCCCGAACCCGCTGGTGGACACCGGTGGTTAGGGATGCTGTCACGCTGAAGAAATAGTACTATCAGGTCTTTTTGGCCTGTGGGACTCCAGACGGGTACCGGCAGTCCAAGTAGAACACGGCTCGGGTGGTCGCTAAGGCAAAGCAAGCTAGACCTGGGACTAAATGTTTTGTAACTGTAGACTGAGATTTGTGTTTTGAAAGTTGTGATTTGAAACTTGTACATAGATTTTTTTCCTGCAAGTTACAAAATTAACGTTTCATGTTACAAAACGTGAATTACATACTGCGAAATGAAAGTCACAGTTACAAAACACGTTACAAGTTACATGTAATTTTGTCCCAATCCTAGTTCCACATAGAGCTAGCAAACCACTGAAACAAAAAACAAGAATCTTCACTCAAGGAGTACCTTCTTAACTAAGGACCTTTAGAAATGTTTAATTAACATAGCTGAAATATGCTGAAAAAGAGACAAATACATTAATAAATAATACAAAAATCTTCTTGCGGAGAATGAGATTCAGTTACTATTGACATAGGAGATACGTGATATTAGTAACCTAAAATTTTTGTTTTATTTTTTATGAGAGAGTGACACAGCATGTGTTGGCATCTGTTTTTATCGGTATAAGAACTTAAAAGTCAAGAATAAAAAGCCAATATTGAGCATTCCTAATATTTTGTTAAACTATTCTAAAACATTATAATTCAATGTCTAAAAATGGCCATACTCTGGTGAGACTGAATTTCTTCCATAATTGTCTGACTTAAATGGGTGCATGATAGCTGAACAAAAAGACTAATTCAAACCACACTATTGATGTTTGTCAATCACATTCTATTTTTTGGCATTTAATGGTATCCATAAATGTACAATAATGCAAATATTTTGTCATTCCTCTTTTCCCAGGTATCATACCCTGATGGTCTTTGAAATTTCCGCTTTGGTCAATAGCTCCTACATACAAAAAGACAAATAGTGTGTTTTCTATCGATAACAAGCAACTTAGTATAAGTTAATTTTAGAGTTTAGTCTTTAGGCTCCCCCAATTTTGAGGCACTTGGCAGTTTGAAAGACTCTGTGCCTCGAGGATTTCACATTTATTTGAGTTGAATAAACCCTTCTGGTTTGTTACATACAGAATGAACTGAGCTAAAAATGGCAAAGCATCGCAAGCTTATGTAGTGCACAAAAAAGTTCTAGTTCATGCGTCGTTTGGACATTTGAGATTCCTCTTACATGCCTTTTTCTCTCAGCATGTCCCACTGGAAGGAGACTCTAGAGCTGGGGCTTTCAACTCCGGTCATGGAGGTTCAGTATGCAACACGTTTTACTGGTTTCTTTGATTCAACACACTTGATTCACATGTGCAGCAGCTCATCGGGCTCTGCAAAAGCCTGTTAATCACCTGCTGATTGAAATCAGGTTTGTTGAAACTAAAATGTGCTGGATACCGGTCCACCAGGCCCGGAATGGAATACCCCTGCAGACTGGAAAATTCCTGGAGGCATTATGCAATAGCCTCTGCCCCAGTAAGAGTGTTGCTGAGGAGTGGGATGAGTCAAATTACCTCTGCAACCCAACCACTCTAGAGGCTTTTTTTCATAATTAATTTATTTTAATTTGTAGTCTAATTTGATTAAAAAATTTATTTTAATACAAATAAAATATTATTTTAACACAAGGTTACATTTAAAGAATTATTTGCAGAAACTTTAGTTTGAGGATGATGCAGTTCTACTATTTAGTTTAGCATGCTCTCTTGTCCTCCACTTGTCTACATTCTTCCTTCTTTTTGCACAATATACTCTCATGGACAGGTACATGGACTGGACCGAATAAATGGCAGCTAAAGAAACCCCTTCAGGAAAGCATTGATCAAAACTACTAAGTCTGCCTTCTTGGAAACAAAATAGACTAATTAGAGGTAGTTAAATACTTTGTTTTATAAAAAAGACAATCTGACAAATTGTCTATTTGAAATATGTCATCTAAAAATGATCTTGCCCATGTTGAATTGAAGCCTGTTTTCTTGACAGCTGATCACTGCGGAGGCATCACCTCATACAGATGTGTGGTCATACAGCTGTGCAAAACATTCAAATCCCATATAAATGTAGCTAAACTTTCCAAATTAATCCTGGAAGTGAGGCATTATCTTTTGTGTGATTGTATACAAGTTACAGCTTGACCAAGTATTAAGCGTTTCATCTTTCTCCAATTAAGCTGAAATAAGCCACATTATGTCAGCATCCTTCAAAACTACACGAACATCTGATGCCTTTGATGTGATGATAGAATAGACTGTGCCTTGTAGATAATATAGCGAGAGCGCCAGTAATGAGAACTTTTTTAACCTGCACCTCTCTGTCTTCTTTCATTCTGTATCTTTATCCCATTACTTATTTTAACCCCTTCTCAATGGGCATTCATTTTCACTTTCATTCTTTATAACACTCTTCTTCAATTACATCCATGCTCTCTCTCCTCCATTAAATCCTCTATTCTCTCCACTGGCTTCTTTTATTTCACATACTCTTTGGCACGGCCTTCTTCTCTATCTATCTTTAGGACAAAGAGGTGAACTTGGAACAGGTCCACCAGCGATTGAACAGCCTCCTGGATGAGGACTTAGCCCACAAGCAGCTGCCAGGCCAATCTATTGAGATCTCTGCCTTGGACGTTGGCAGTATGCAGCCCAGCCATTCTCTGGAGGCCTTGTCTGTTCGAGACTACCCTACACACAGAGGGCCACCACCTCTGTCTGTGACCAGCTTCCTGCAGGAGGGTCACAGGGCAGGGAGGACACTAGGAGCGGCCACTGGCAGGACCTTGCCTCTGCCACTCAGCAGTGCCACCATGCCCTCCATCCGGTGCAAGCACAGGGCACCTAATGGGGGGCTATTCCGGCAGAGCCCAGTCAAGACACCCATGCCATTGGCCTACCAGCCAGCACCAGGAGGACCCATCCCAGAAGCTGGTGAACACAGCCACGGGACATCCATTTAAGCACGACGAACACTCACAGACAGTCAAATAGTAGAGTGAACTAAAACGGAGTGCCTACAGTATCTGGAGATATAAATAAACACTCAAAAACTTATTAGCAGTGTTCAAGCCAGTGAAATGACATGGACACTGAGACTTTACTGTACATATGTGTAAGTACAAAGAAAGAGAAGCAACATTTAAAAGTGTATTTTGAATATTCAACTGTTCAGTTTAAAAAATATAAAAGTATTGAAAAAATGACTGTTCAAAAGGCTTTGTAAATTTTGTTCTAAATGAATAAAGGTGACAATTCTTTGTGGTTGTTTTCTAAGTGCCAAGTTCAAAGATGTTTTCTTTTAAATCAACATTAACTGATTGTACTGTGATACATGACAAAAACATTTCACACTTGGAAAAAAAAAACACATTGGAAGAGTTGATTTTGTTTCATAGAAAAACAATAAAACTATAACAAAAACATGGAGAGGTGTGTTTGAATGAATATTTGCGATGGTATGCAGTCCTCGTGAACATTAGGATTACTTGTACAAACTGGTAATTGGGTGTTCAGGGAAAATACTGAACAATTTACAGTATTAAAGGCATAATGGATGTGATTATTTAAAAAATGTCTAGTCCTAAAGCACACTTAAAAGGGTCCAGTGGTGGCTCCAGAAATTTTTTTCTGCAGGTGCTATGAAGGAGCCAGTCTTTTTATTATGGGCGCTATGAAGGAAATGGCCATGCGTACCTATTGTTCTCTAAAACACCTTCAACACTAGCAGATACACATGCGTGCAAAAAACCTCAACAACACCTGAAACAATCATTGATATACCGGTACATCATAAACATATGAACAATCGCTGACTTTTCCATGAAATCATAAACACATACAGCCACACAGAAACCAATCTATAGTGTTGCAAGGTTAGCTAACATTAGTGTTTTTCCAGCGGCAAAACCCTCAACTGCTGCGGCAGTTGAGGGTTGACTCTCTTCATCCAGATCCATAGGTTTTTGTGGGTCTGAGATCACTTCCAAAGATTCATTAGTTTCTGACTGAACCTGTGGAAATTTGGGCAACGAAAACCGATCCATTTTACCGCTAGCTCTACCTTTCACTCGTTCGCAGGTGGAAAATGAGGTCAAATGTTATCATCAATTTCCTGTTTTGGTTTAAGTTGTTGCTATCTATATGACAATTTGCTGATTACTTTTGTTTTGTATGTTAAATATTATCACATCCACACGTTAAATTAAAATTAAATTGTACAAAAAAATCTAATATTTACTTGGGGGTGCTAAGGGGGTGCATTGACTAATCCAGGGGTAGCTATATCGCCCCCCCTGACGCCGCCACTGAAGGGGTCGTCAACCCTGCCTCAGAGTCCTTCTCCACCCACATATCAATTTTGAAAATTGCAACATTAGTAGGCGTTGCCTGGCGGACCGAGAGGGCGGAGCCGCGGCAGTGACGAAGACGGATGGGTAACGAAACGAAGCTAGATTGTTCACTCTGAGCAGTCATTAAAGGTGGTGGACATTTCTCCCCCTCCTTACCCAGACAGTCAAGAAGGAAGGGACCAAGTCTATTTGGAGGAGACAAGCGGACCTGATTCTTATTGTTTTGAGCTTGTGAGTTGCCTGAAACTACCGGAGCCGACCCAACAGAACCAGCTCTGAATGGTAGGTAGCCGTTAGCCATAGCATCAGATTAGCAGGGATAGGCCCCATGGCCTTAGAGAGCTCTTATCAAGCATGTTTTAGAGGTTTATCTGCTTCAACACACCTTATTTTAATCAGCAGCAAATAGCTGAGCTGCTGAACAGCTAATCTAGCATGTTAAAGCAGGAAAAACCACTGAAACGTGTCGATAGCAGCTCTCTAGGACACGGCCACCTACCCTGGGCTAAAGTTACTGTCTGCTGTAGAGAACGTTTGTAACAATAAGCTAAAATAATTACATGTTAAAACTAGAAGGTAAAGAGAGACAGATGGTTAAAAATAATTCACCTGCAAGGCTTCTAGCCTGGACCGGTGCAGGCTGATGGAGGACTACATCAGTCTGACAGCAGATTTATTGGGCAGACTTAGACTGAAAAAAAATTAACATCACGTTGTTGTGGGAGTTTAGTAACTTAGATCATGTACAAAACAAACTGTCTTATATATGTGCTTTATAACATTGCTGGTGAGTGATCTGACTGCTCTCATAGCTAACTCAGGGTCCAGAATCAGACATGTTCTAATGAGAACCGGAGCACCAGTTCAGAACCGGGTCAGCTTTTTAGCAGAAGGAGGAGCTGCTCGTCAGTGTCCGTCTTGCTCTGCATCAGCGCTGATGTTACTAACTGGTACAAAAACTTAACCCGAACTGATTGTCTAAATTACGTGAACCAAGTCCACATCTCTCTTACTTTGCATTTATAAATATAGCAAATATAGCTGCAAAATTACAGGTAGGGAACGGTCTTTAGAAGCTGTTAAATGTAATTATTTAGCTAACCTCAAATTGGGCCAAAAATCTTTGTTTTGAGGAAGCAGTATTCGGCAGGATCCGGCTAATTACTGGAACAGCTTGGACTAATTTGTGAAATGCTCTTCAAACCAGCATAACCTGGTTCAAACTCCATCAAGTTGGTGAAAGAGGAGCATGTAAAAAACACTTAACTACAATATTAACAGCCAAGTTACTAGAACTAAATAACTATAATACTAGAAGTTTTGCTGGGACTCTCTGTTCTGGATACGTAGCATTGTTCTCGTTAGTCATTGGCTAAAACTGACTCAAAATAAACATGTTCAATACTTTTGAGTTGAAGATGGCGCTAGACTTGCGTTTTTAGACAGAATTTAAAGTTTTCAAAGAAAATGCATCAAAATGCAACAATAATAACCACACATGTCTACAACACTATTGGGCACTCATTTATACTAGTTATCAGCTTAAAAAAAGTAGATTTTGATGTGACTGCTCTTTAAGTTTTCTGCTTCTCCCACCTACTGGCTGAAAGCAGAATTACAACTGTCACAAACAACCCTGCCACCGCCTGCTATAGCTAATGCTAACATGAGCCAACTGATATGGGGAGCCTTATGGGCCATTCCCATCTGTACCGGGTCGGCCCGGGCCGGGTGGCATATGTTGTTTACATATCTGGGTGGCCTGGTATTTTTCCGGGCCAACCAAGGCTCATTCTCAGCCCTCTTCACGAGGGGGTCTGCTTCAGGCCGACCAGGGCCAACACACCCACTGCTGACAGCAAATTCACACCTTCCATTAGAGCAAGCCTCTGATTGGTGGGCAGAATCAGCCCACATGGGCTTAAGGCAAGGATGTGTGGAATCAACCGGGCCAACTGGGGCTACCCGGCCCGGGCCGACCCGGTACAGATGGGAATGGCCCACTAGTAACATCCATCTACTTCCAGACCATGAGTTCCCAAAAAACGCAAAAATGAATGAAAGTCAATGAGGCTAAAAACGCCATTTTCTTATCCCATTTGTTGTGTGCCATGGATTTCACATAGGATGTCAGTGAATTTTAAAGATGCATTCTGAAGAAAGTGCATATTTTTGAACGGTGCAAAAGTTGCATTTAATTTTGTGTTAAAATATGTCCAGGACCACAAATGCACATCACCAACTTGGTGTCATTGAACCAGAAACGGACAAACGCAGAAGTGAGATAGCTGTAAGTCTAAATAACTTTGAATCCTTTGAAATACTAAAGCCTGTGGCACACCCGCCGCATCATGTCGTACCATCATTTTAAATAAAAGCCATTATAGTTAATGAGAGTGGGCACACGGGGAGCACCGATTCTCTCTCAGAGCCGTGCCTGTTTACGACATTGTAGAGTTCTTTACAACAGACATTACGACGCAGAACGGCTTCATGGCACAAACTCAGCCACAGTTTTGATAACTTTAAAGTACCATTGATCTTAAAATTTTCAAATAAATTGCGTACTTACCCATTTTTAATGAATTTGACTCTCATGAAACACGACAGCAAGACTGATCACGTATAAACAATAGAATCACTCCCCGCTTTCTGTTCTCAAGTCCCGCATGATGTTGTGACTATCGCGCAACTTTCCAAGAAGCGCTCAGCGGCACGACACGGCGTGTCCTATATGACCACTTGACTTCTCAAAATCTGCACACCAGCGTGTCTGCCTCCGGTGTGGCCCAGGCTTTAGGCTTCCTATCAGCCAGGAAGTAAAAAATATCCACACAACTGGACAAAAAAAATATGACTTACAGTCCAGTAGCATCACCATGAATGTCTTGTCTCAGTGTCAAGGTGCCTGGACTTGCAAGGCGATGATGTCTTGCAAGGCCAGGTGCCTTACTTGCTCGGACACTGTCCTTCCTTGGTCAAAGAAAACGGTTAAATAGAACAGACTTACATCATGTGACCTCGACTTCTGCGGCGATCACGTCACGTGAGGTAACGTTATATTTTATACATATAAGTTTCAATATAAATGTTTAATGAGCCATTTACTTTTTAAATTGAGTATATATTGGTTAAATTAAATATGTAAGGTGAGCATGCTAGCCACCGATGCTGCAACTACTAAGCAACTAACCAACCATAGCCAACTGCTTTGGTTGTAAAAAATATTTTAGATATCAGCCCTATCGCTACAACTAGTTGACTTATATTTAAACTTGAAATTTGCCGCTGGCTCCTGGTATGCCATCCTTTTGAAAAAAAAAATGCGAGCTGTATTTTGAGGAATTTTTGACCAAGGCCAGGCTACAATGTACCTCTCGTGTATCCTTGCTCAGCTGGCTAAACAGCTAACAAATGGAAAACAGCCGCCTCGGTAGAACATGAACACTGGAACACGCCTTGGCGATTCCTGATGACGTATCTCCTAGGGCACCAGGGCGGCACCAAGACATCAAGGCAAAGTTCTTTAACATTGAGAAACACCCTAAGACTCTGAGCGATGCCATGTTTCCTTCTACAGGAGCTCGTGACAACAAAATGCTTTCACTGATTTGTAACAAGTAGCTACAACACTTTCACATTCATAAACATGTTTGTTTTACACATTTACCTTTTCCCTTGTTGCCAGTGATGAAAAGGAGTCTGATGTGCTTGTCATTTTGCTGTAGGTTGAACTATTTCACAAGATACTTTTTCGAAAATTGCGATCCCAGGGATTTTTTACCCTAATTGCCCTCCGTTGGTAAGTCTTACTCAAACCCAAAATTTCTGCTTGTTTGCAATTATTTTGGTATGTACTGCCCCCTTCTGCCAGATAAAATATGCACTTTAAGCATGTAAAAGTGCCGATTCTGGTCACCAGATGGCCACAGAGTGCTGTCCAATTTGAAGATGCTCAAGTTTATAGCTTAAGAACCACTGAAACCAGTTACAAAGCAAAAGTTTCAAGTGTTAAAAACTCTTCAGTGTTGCTTTAAACGTTTCCATGGTTTAAATATCACTGCTGGTTCTGACTTGGCCCTATTCAAGCTGTCATACATATTTTGTGCCCTGACGTGAATGGGTTAGACACAAATAGCAGGTTTAGGTAATACACCCAAGGAGCTGGTGCACATTTTCTTTAAGAATGAAACATAAGCATCCAATCCATGCTGAAGCCAAGAACTCAACAAAAATGTTTACTGCATTTATTACAAACTGATGATCGCACTTCATGCCTTGAGTTTCTCTTTACAATAATTCCATCCTGTCGTAACAGTTATCACACACACGAAAGGAGAGGGGAAAAAACTGTCAAAATTGGGGACTAGTGGCTCCGACACCATTTCACACCCTCACAAGTCCATGCAGGCACAAACAAAGCCGATATCAACCTAACCTAGCCTTGTGCCAGACTCAGCAGGAGCAGCCTACATGGACATGGCTGCTGGGAAAGCAGACAACTTAGGACATGATCAGTCACTGTCACGATGTTTACGTGTGGGCATATGTTTAAGAAAATGGACCCATAAATGGTGCCAATGCTTGGAAGTAAAAGTGTGCAGTTTTAAACTTTTTGATCACATCTTCAACTTGAAGCCATTTTATCAATATTGCAACAACCTGAAATAATTTATAAGTTTGCTAGAAAGAAAGACGTACCGTGGTTTATAGGATCAAGGAGCAACTTGGTGATTTAACTACCAGAGCAAAATTCTCAAGCATCTTTTTTTTTATGCAATCCTCAATGAGCATCTTTACCTTGGACAGAGGTCTAATTGGCTGTTCTGTTATTCTTTCAGGTATGTTCTGAAAGTACTTTTAATTTTAGGCGAGGAGAAAAACCTGCCTTTTATCTTGTGTTTCATGATCTCTATTAGCCGTGTCCTAAAGCACAGCAGTGTTTCAGGGGGTCATCTGCAGCCGAGATGGTACAATGTTGCCTCCAGCAGTCACTTACGTGACAAATGTGGAGATGCTCTTTGATAAAACCGTCCTCCCAACTCTCACGCTGACTTGTGCCCACATAGAGCTCAGTGGGGCTGCTTGGTTTTAAGCTACAAAATCTCTGCTCTAATCTTGCAGACTGCCACTGCAGGTAGCAAAACACCTCTCGAAAGCCTGTCGCTTCAACCTTAAATCCCAGTTTCACCTGAATCCAGCAAACCAGGCAGGAGAGGAATAAGAATGTCACTCTGCTCAGGGTGGCCACCGGGTAGATTTCTGAATCTTGTAAAATTATAGTTTTTGGTGGTATTTTTGAGTAACCACTGACTACCACACATTAAATACATAAGCATCAGTCTGATTCAACAAATAACATCCACTTTAATGGTCTAGTATAGATTTACACAGCCCATCAGAGCTATATGTACACAAAAACTACCACAGAGTGTCATGGTGGGTGGCAGTTTCTTGACCCACGACATGCAGAATCACAACACATGCAGCAACAGGGCTGCATGGAGGCGCAGTGGTTAGCTCCGTTTCCTCGCAGCACGAAGGTCGCAGGTTCAAAACTCGGCTGCGGCCTTTCTGCGTGGAGTTGCGTGTTCTCCCCATGCATGCGTGAGTTTCCTCCGGGTACTCCGGTTTGCCCCACAGTTCACAACATGCCCTACAGGTCAGAAATTGTGCGTCGATTTGGATAAAAGAGTCTGCTAAATGAATAAACATAAAACGGAGAACAGGTGAGTACATAAAAACGTCTTTATTAATAGATGAAGAGTAACAGGAAAAACGGGAACAGACGCAGCGCAGGACTGGCAGCAAGATTCCAGGAGGAGATTCTGAGGAGGGAGACAGTGAGTATTTGGTGGGAATGACGGAGGATTATCTTAAGAAGGGAGCTTACGGATAGTAGGTAGTGGTGAGAGGCTCAGGGAGGGCTAGGTCAGGTCCGGGTGAGCAGGAAGGATCCAGAAGGTGAAGCAACCGTTGAACCAGAGGGGAGGTAGGAGCAGAGGTTTGGTGTGAGCAGGTGAGCGGCTGAGAGCGGGCGGCCAGGGGAAGAGACAGCGTGATCTGGGTTGCAGGAGTCCAAGCTGGTATGGAGATTGTGGGTTGTGGAGCGAAGCCTGGAGCAGAGCAGGGAAGAGTAGTCAGGGTTTTCTGGCAACAGGAAATCCAGCAAAAATTAATAAGATCAAACAAGCGCACAGGAACTAGGAAAACCACGAGATCGAGACCGGTAAAAGGCTAGCGCTACCCAAACAGAGTGATCATCCGGCGAAGTGAAGTGTCACACTGCACCTTAAATCCCCTGGACCTTGATGACAGGATTAGCTGCAGCTGGAGACTCTCAGACACGCCCACCTGAAACAATGCTCAGAGGAAAACAGGGTTACATGCAGGAGGCTCACCACGGGCCGTGACACAGAGCTGTAAAATACTCATTTCCAAGGTTTGCAAGCTATTAAAATCAATAAAGCCCTGAAGCCCATGCAACAGTCTCTACAATATTCTAAAAATAATTCTCTGATCCTCTCATTGAAATCAGATGTGTTGGTTTTATGCATTATTCATCAAACCAAGTATGGTCTCAGCATTCCTTGCCAAGCTGTTTTACAGTTACACCTTAAGGTTGTGTCAAAAATCTCTTCCTTGTTGGCTGGTAAACAACCCGCCAGTGATAACAACTCATAAGATGTTCAGACGGATGAGTGACACCGATGAGACCCCAGCGGCTCTGGAGGTATGAATTACCCCTCAAGCAGAACTGCCTGGAACCAGCACCAGTCTAAACTTAAGCAGCTTTTGAGATATGAGGTAAAATACCTCTAACAACCAAGAAATGAGGTCCAGCTGCCATCTATTCAAGCACTTATTTTAACAAGCTTATCTTATTTTTAAAATCTGGCCCAAGTTTCCTTGGGCTTTTGTCCAGCCTTCTTCCGCCAAGGCAGATGATCCACTTCTTTTTTTTTTTTTCTCGATACATTTGCTGTGGTATTTTGTTAGTTATTCTCTCTGGCATAAAGTTAAAGAAGTTAGAGAGGGGCAGAAAGCGGCAGGATTGGAGTCTTACTCATTATCATTCAAGATATTTAGACATCTGATTTCTGAATTGTTAATAGCTACACAACCCTTTCATTGCCACCTTTTGCTTTACAATGTGGATGATTTACCTCCCCAAACAACACAAGTCTGAAGGAGTTCTGCCATGTTGTGGAGCGGATTGGTAAACTTCTACTTTCAGAGATGTGCTCTGCTCTCCTGGCTGCAAAAATAAACAACCTTTCCTGGTACCGAGCTTTGTTGGAGGAGTCTGTTAATGCTAATTTACAGTGTGGCGTGAACATGTGTGGCTTTTTCTAATCCACGCGTTTCCCCATCTATTTTCTATCGGTGGCTAATGCAGGAGACAGGGGTAGAAGACTATTTTAACATTCAGCCTGAATGTGGAACTCTGAGCGGACGATCATATTTAAAAAATAACTTAAAAAAAAAAGGTTTCTCAGCAAACTTGCTTTACAAAGATGGAGTTTTGACTTTTTTATACCATAAACTTTTGCATTATTGGGCTTTTCCTAAGGGTTGGAACATATTAGAACCTGTAGACATCAAAAGACTTGTGGATTTTATTACTGACTAAAAATGTGGTCACAAACACAATGCTCTGATCAGCTCAACGAGATTAAATAGTATAGTCTAAAATTCTACCTGATCAAGGACATATTTAAAGCAGCTACTGGACCAAAGGCCAAATAGGAGGAGTAAGATTTGCCAAAGCCTCCAAAAAGTCAACTGTTAGCAGTTTTGTCTAATAAAAAGTGCTTCAGCAGAGCCTGTGCATCACACCATGGAGCAACGTGCAGAAAAAGACCCAACTGGTTATTTTAGGGAGCCCATGATCCATGGAGAGGATGGTCACCTCCCATGGTGGAAATCTAAGAACATTTGCTTTTTTCCTGCATGCTCTACAAGCACATCTTCAGGTCGGGTGTTCAGCGCTACAGGAGAGTTTGTAACCCTGCTGTGTCTTCTGTGCATAACAGAAAAGGCAGATATGTTTGTATTTCTGGCAAAAACCTGTCCGTGTTGTTATTTTGTCTGAGCCAATGTTTGAGGACTTTGTTTCTTTTGTGAGATTGATTTTCCATCTTTAATCCATGTAACAAATAATAGAAATCCATTTTACTCTAGAAAGTTACAACAGTAACAATAGAAGAAGATGAGATACTCCAGGCAGACAGTAAAATCATCTAATGGGAGTAAAAATCAGAATGGCCTAAAAGTATCAAAGCTTGAATAACTAAACCTGAATCCAAAGTGGTCCCACTTCATGGCACCATGCCACGGATCATAAAACTTTTACAGATGAAAAGAAGCTCTTTAAAACTGCACCGGGGGTACACAAACTTTCACACACTTAAACATATAGACTGCATTTGTGTGTGTTGAAATGGTGACCTTGTCACCTTTCCTACCTGGCAGTTGTGTTTTCCAGTCGGGGACACGTTGCTGAGTGGGCCTGTAGTCTCGACGGCTGTGCTGAAAGAAAACACCGACCCTGTTCTGGGAGCTCATCTGAGCTGAGCCTTGTCAGAGACACACTTCCTGTTTTTGCCCTACACAAACAATCCGCTGCCATCTCTATGTGTCAAGACTCATCTAAATCATGGCCTTTCTCACCTCGGATACACACAGAGGTCCCATCTCGCTTCAAAGGAAGGAAAAATGTATTCCCAGAGGTAGCCGTGACACTTTTATCTCATTTTACCGAAGAGATCATTTTAAAGACAAATCCTTTTTTTCATTAGGCAGTGAAAAATTTACGCACTATAACCACAAATTACATGTAAAACCAAAACCTACATCATCTCATCTTGTAGCACATTAGAACTGGAACGGAGGCTTCACAATGGCAAAAATGTTGCCATACATGACTCGCATGAGCAGTCTGTATAATTAGCTTGTGTGGGCAGTGTGAGGCAATCTGCTGTAAAATAACTTCTATTTTCCCTGTGGGGAGATCGCTGACCGTCTGTCCGGGCTGCAGCTGCTGTCTTATCATCCATTCATTGAGCCATTGTACCTTTGAGTGTGTGAAGGGCTTTCGATTTACTTTCAATGACATTTTTTCATAATCCTTCAAACCTAATTTGATTATATTAATTTTCTTTAGAATATCCATCCATTGGAAAAAGATTATTTTAATGATTAAATAAGCATACAAGTTCATACATAATTATTGTTTTTGCAGAGACCTTTTTTGAAAGTTGTTTAAATTTTGACTTTTTACCATGACAATAAGGTTTATTGGGGCATTCCTCCAAAAGGGTGCCATTTGCTTGTTGTAAGACCCAATCCCAATACTCACACTGTGCTCTAAGTTTTTCTGTAAAGTGCACCTGAGGAAGTGTGCAGTGAGGCTTTGAGTGCATCGTACACAAGTGTGCAAATAATTACTGAACTGGGACAGGGTGCGTTGCGTCATCGACTGCAATGCATGCCAGGATGGTGGTCGTTGTTTGTGCTACTTAAAAAAAATCTTAACAACTTTCAAACAAAACAATTATTCGACAAAATTTACATTCATTGCTGTCCTCATTAAATATTTTTTTCTAAAATATCCAGAACATCAATAAATATCATTACTGTCTTAATTTAATTCAATTCAATTCAATTATCTACAAACATCCAGAACATCAATAAATATCATTACTGTCTTAATTTAATTCAATTCAATTATCTACTTTCACTGGAAAATCCATAATTTCAGAAAAGGCACCTGAGCCCTTGCTCCACCTTCTTCTCAAAATTCTGATGCAGTAATGGGTTGTGGGCAATACACAACCCATTGGATCAAGGGCGGAAAAGGGGCATGGTCACCTTCCACATTTGAGAATCGGGAAACCCGATGGACTTGCACCCCTGGCTGGGAATACGCAATTGAAGGGTGGAAGTGCGAGTACTGGGATTAGGCATACGTCTAAAAAATAAAACCATTGTTATCATATGTTTCTAAGTTTAAACATGTAATATACTACATATCTAAGTATCCTAAATGAGCATTTCTCACCCTCAAGGTAATTTTATTTTTTCAAAATATTTTTCAGTTTCAAGTTTTTTAGAGTAACAGGACTGAGTTTGGACCAGAGAATTAGCTAATAAATTAACCCTAGTCACAGGGCATTCTTGCTAGTAGCATGAAGACACTGAGCTAAGTGGTTCATCAAAATTTGTTTGGTAACACTTTACAAAATGGGTCCCTTTATTAACATTACTTGGTGCATTATTAACCATTAATTCACTTTATTACCGTTACTGTCAGTGTTAACTGGTCTTTGTTAAAGAGCAAGTTACCCCCTACCAGAGTATTACTCCACTCCCACTTCCTGTTTGAAAAATGCAACAAATGATGTTGCCTAGCAGAACAAGAGGGCGGAGCCTCTAACAAATACACACACTAGGGGTTGCAAGACTTATCTTTTTTTAAGTTGACATCAAGTAATGAAAATCGAATCGACTTCGACTAGTCGCTGGAGCTTTTGACAATTAAAATTGCGCCCACATTTTCTAAGTTAACACACATTTCTTTTAACAACGGTAGTTTCTGCATCTTGCTTCAGCCCCCCCCACCCCCACCCCCCCACCCCCACCCCCACCCCACCCCACCCCCCGGTGTGCCTGCAGCCTCTCAGAGTTCCCGCTGCTCTAAACATTAAAATGATTATTTCATTTTCTGTTCCTCACTTCTGATTACCTTCAATGGTGTCTGTTTGTTGCAACCACCAGGTACAAAAATGAGCTTGTTTTTATTTGACTATTTTTCTGTCCTGTCTGTCTATCATCTTCCCACCGTGTTAAATTAGTTTTTGAGGTGGCGACTCCTGATTTGATAATTTTACTGTGGCCGTGCTCAGGACACAGATGTCTGGAGCACGTCAACAATCAGAGCTTTGCATGCCCATGCTGGTTAAGGTTAGGATGGGGGTGAGGGGAAGGTTAAATTGCAAGAGGGTAAAGGTCACAATTTGGTCAAATGTCCGCTTTACGGCGGGCGTCAGATACCGACAGCACAGCACGTCGCCTCCCAATGTGCAGGGGCCTGTAACCTGCTGTCTCTTCCGAGGACTGCATCTTGTCGGTCATTATCACTTGACAGCGACTAGTCGATGAAAGGCATAAAAAGTCACTACAGAGCAGTAAAGGTGACTAGTCGATTAGTTGATACAACCCCTAAAACACACACACACACACACACAGGCTCACAACGACATTGTGACATCATATAGTACCAGCTAACGTTCTAGGGTACCTCTTAGCCAATAGCGATGACAGATTTAAATTCAACTACAGTGCAGAGTTTTTACCTGACAATGGCACAACACTGACAGTTTTAGGCAGAACATTTAAATTTTAACTAAAATGCACTAAAGTGCAAAACTATTGATTTCACGGGTCTGCAGCACGATTAGACACGCATTTATACAGTTTATCAGAAAAAAAGTTGATTTGGGGGTGACTTGCTCTTTAAGCTAAGTGTTAAGAAGTGTTTGTTCAATAGTTTATTAATGCTTAATAATGAATCAAGTAATTATTATCAAATATAGCTAAATTAAATAAATGAGGAAATGTGGTTTTGGTCTTCCCGTGGTTTTAGATGCAACTGACGCTACTTCCTGTTCTGCATGCGACTTCTGGAATGTTTTAGACCCGGTACACAACTAAAATGTGTATTCTGATATGACTTCATAACAGATTGTTTTTCTTTTAATCATATGAAGTACAGATGAGATGTTACAATTAGATCATATATGTCTCACTTTCCGTAATAAGAAAAATCATTTTACAAATAAGCTTCATGGGCATTCATGAATATAAATTCCTGTGAACATAAATGGCACAGATTTGGTGGAATGACCCCATTCTACTTCTGGAGGCAACAGTTACTGAGCTTTTTACACCATATTGCGGGACTTGGTCTTTTGTTCCCAAAGTGTCACGATTTCAAATATTTGTCACCATTTAAAAACATATTTCCCTTAATGTGACTCATCAGTTCTGCAATGCTGACAGAGCAAGGCAAGGCAGATTTGTTTGTTGAGCTCATTTCAAACACAAAAGCAATTCAATGCACCTTCCAAGGGCAAGAATAGCAGCCAAGAACATAAAACATTAATATCAACGTGACAACATAAAACAGCAGATTTTAAAATCAAATTCAAATACACAAATAAAACTAGATGCTAGAAAAAGTTAAAAACCGATCAGGTACAGTGCAGAAGGTGCAACATATGAGACATTCATTCAAATGCTGATTAATTTTGATTTAAAAGTTACTAGATTGGCTGCCCAGTGGGGCAGTGGTTTGCGCTGTTGCCTTGCAGCAAGGAGGTCCTGGGTTCAAATCCTTGCCTGGGGTCTTTCTGCCAAGAGTTTGCATACTTTCCCTGTTCATGTTGTAACGCAGACAATCTACATACTAGGATTTAACGCTGTTTGCTATGCAGCTTTGTTAGATCCTGAGAAAGATGAAACAAATTAGCATATGAAGCTTATATTTACGTAGATGTCCACGGATGTTTATGTAATCGATAGAAGTTCATACACCAACTGGCTTGGTGTATATTTAATCCAATGATTAATATTTAATTTAAGAGAGTTAAATGAATAGCAAAAGTTTATTTATTAAATCAGAAGTCCTAAAGAAATCTTTGCTTGTTCAATAACCAAATATACACCATTCTGTGTTTCATTTCAAAGAAGAGTCAGGTTTAAAAAGTTAAGAATTTATTACTAACAATTTAAAGATGACAATTTAAATGACAATTTATGACAGCTCTGATATTAAAACTTGGTATTAAAAGCAACCTGTGTCTGAATGAAAACTAAAATGAAATGCGTGTGTTTGGGTGTGTGAATGGAATCTCAGAAGGTTTCTTTCAGAGAGATTAAACGCGTTCTGGGTGAAAAAGTTGTTTTGCAGCTAACTAAGTTGTTTCTTAGAGAGAA